CCACGATCTTCCTCTCCCCGACCTCATCCTAGTATAAGGGTGTTCGGACCTTACATTCATACAAAGGCTCAAATGCGACCATCTTGATCGTGGAGTGGTAGCTATTGTTGTAAGTCAGCTCGACCAAAGGCAAGGCACTCTCCCAGGTTAGGCTACGGTCTAAGACCACAACTCTCAATATGTCCTCCAAGTACTGGATTGTCCGCTCCGACGGGCCATCTGTCTGAGGATGAAAAGTTGTACTGAACTCCAGCCTCGTCCCCATGGCTCGGTGCAGGGTCTTCCAGAACTGCCAAGTGAACTTTACGTCTCGATTAGACACGATCTCTACAGAAACTCCATGAAGCTTGAAAATATCATCCACGAACAACTCGGCATACTGACTAGCCTTCATAGTCGTCCGAACTGGCAGAAAGTGGGCAGACTTCGTAAGGCGATCCACAATCACCCAAATAGAATCATGCCCGGTTCTCAACCTCGGCAATCCCACCAAGAAATCCATGGTGATGCACTCCCACTTCCACAAGGGAACCTCAAGTGGCTGCAACTTCCCTCTCGGTTTCTGGTGCTCAGCCTTCACTTGCTGACACACCAGACACCCATTCACGTACCTCGCCACTTGCCTCTTCATACCTTGCCACCAAAACGACTTTCTCAAGTCCTGATACATCTTTGAGCTACCAGGATGGATGGTGTACGGGGCATTATGGGCCTCTCTCAAAATCTCCTTTCACAGTTCCCACACCTTCGAAACACATAGTCTACCTTCAAAGACTAATGCTCCATCAGATGCGACTGTGAAGCCTCCAACTCTACCGACTTCCGACAACTCCTTTATCCGGCAAAGAAAACGATCATTCGGTTGCTCGGCGACCATCCTCTCACGAAGAGTCGGTCCCACAACCAAAGAGGTCAACATACCCCCGACTGTCAAAGTCGATCCACTGCATCTAGCTGTAGCCGCTCGAACTCTCGAACCAGAACATCCTGCTCGTTAAAAAGACAGGACAATTGGCCATTCCTCCGACTAAGGGCATCGGCTACCATGTTAGTTTTCCCAGGATGGTAGCTAATCCTCTAATCGTAGTCCTTGACCAGTTCCATGTTGGTGTTATATACTTAAGCTTTGCTTTAGTGGATATTTCACTTGTTATTCCTTGATGAATGAGAATTATGTTTGATTAAATAAGTTCCACGTTCTGTTGTTTTGCATGTAGATAAGTGGGTTGTCATCGGGCGAACCGAAGATCACTATATCAGTTACTTGCGAAACAAGAATCATTGG